AAAAAAAATGGTTAGAGATACAAGTAAAACATGAGGTTCCAATAGTCACTCACTTAAGTAGTTATTATTCTTTCTTTTTTTTTTTTTGAGGCAGGGTCTCACTATGTAGTCCTGAACTCATTATGTCGACCAGGATAAACTTGAACTCAGAGACATCTGCCTGTCTTTGCCTCCCCAGTGCTGGGATGAAAGTTGTGCGCCACCACACTTGCAAGTAGTTATCATTCTTAAGGAATACCTTTAGGATTTTACTGTGTATGTTTATAAATAAAGACAACATAACAGGGCTGGAGATAGTTCAGCGGTTAAGAGCACTGACTGCTCTTGCAGAGGACCTGGCTTTTTTTTTATAAGTATTAATTTAATAAAATAAGTGTGTATTATTTGTATCTAACCACGTTTTCAAAATATATTGGGTTCTGATGTTGATTAACAAAGCGTAATATAACATCATTTAAAAAGATGTGTTCAGAGTCTGGAACTCAGGTCCTGACACTTGAGTAACAAGCATTTGAACAACTGAACCATCTCCCAGCTCCTCTAACTACGATTTCTACTGCGTTTCATCTGTCTCACTGCAATAAATTCTATAGTAAGTTTATGGTGTAGTTTGTGCTGATTTCAGAAATCTAAAGTCAGATAAAATTTTACACAGGAAGAATAGAAGATAGAAATCTCTAGAAAGACTATAAGAAACAGTGGTGAAGGGATCATAGCTACCTATATTTCTTTAGATTCTCAAGCTCATGAATAATTCATCACAATGCTGGGCTCATGAAGCACTCCCTTCATTGGTTCAAGGATTGCTCTTTTCTTGTTTGCATCTTTCATTTTATTTATTTTTTAAAGTTTATTATTTTTATTTTATGTGTATGAGTGTTATGCCTGCATGTAGGTAAGTGCACCCATGTCATGCAGTGCCCATGGAGGTCAGAGGAGGCTGTCGGATCTCCTGGGACTGGAGTTACAGACAGTTGTTAGCTGCCATGTGGGTGTTGGGATTCAAACTTGGGTCTTCGGCAAGAACAGCCAGTGTTCTTAACCACTGAGCCATCTCTCCGGCCCACACCTTTCATTTTAAAGAGTACATTGAAATTAGCTACATGCAGGCTTGTAATCCCAGCGTTTGCACTCAAGACACAAAGCAGAAGTTCGTAAGTTTGAGGCCAGCCTGAGCTACAAAGTAATAGCATGTCTCAAAAGCATCCATAAAAGAGAAGTATAGTGTAAACACACATTAATTTACCTTCTAACACAAAACTGATGATGATTCACATCTACATATATAAACTCTATCACCTTCCCTTGTTACTCCCTGCCTAAAGTAACCAACTTCCAGAATCTTGAATTAACCATTCTCCACAAACATGTATTAACAAAACTGTACTATATTTCTATATGGGATATATCTCTATTATTTGATACCTCTATAGATATTCTAAATAAGAATATTATTGAGGGAGTCTTAAATTTATAGAAAGTAGAATTAAACTTTAATTAAATATATTATGTCTCAGTGTCACTTACATTCACCAGTATTGTCAGAGATCGCTGTGCTTCATTTATTTTCTACTCTACCTATGTCTGTTAATGACCAAAATGCATTTATTCTTTCCATGTAATGTGCATTTATGTTTTTTGTTGAGTTCTGCTATACCAATGAAGGGTCTGAGATATACAAATTTACATTTATGTGCTCTAAGTTACTAATACTCACACAGGTACAAGTTTATTTTTTACTTCACAATGCAGAAATTACTTTCATAACTTTATTGAGAAAATTTAACAAAATGTTTCTTGTTATTTATTTTGTAATATATTTTTATTGAATTTTTGTGCATTTCATACAAGCCATCTCAATCATCTTTATAGCACCCTCCCCCAACTGCAGTAGTGCCCAATAGGCCTTCTCACTGGACTTCATATATTCTGTCATATATGTTAAGACCTATTGAGTCAAGCCCCTGACTATTTAAACATAGATTCATATGTCAAAACTTTTACTCTGGCAACATTGTAGAAGAGCTATCAGGACAAGTAAGTAGAGCCATCAGAAATGAGGTTGTAGAAATTACTACTGGTCAGAGATATCAAAAATTAAATATCTGTAATGGACTAAGAACAAAGGATCAATATAGGGGAAAGCACAGAAGTCAAAGATTGACTTGATGGGGGGTGATGAGACAGGGATTTCTTCAGGTATTGATTTGTCTATTAGGCAGATAACAATACTATAAACTTCAGAAGGAAAAAGAGAAAAACTGATCAATTTCAGCATGATTCCAGCAATTTAACTCCAAAGGCTACATTTACTAATGTGTTATGTGTCTTAAAGGTACATTATTTTCTGTACAGATTTGGAGACATCGTGAGGTGAGATGTGAATAAAAGATGATCTGAAGACAGTGAATACAGGTAAGTACATCATGGTGCTTGCCATTGGTAGGAGATACACCACAGCCTGCATGAAAATACAAGAATGAATGGTCTTTTCACTGTGAGAGAGACTTAGGGGTGTGTGGATTAGATGGATTGGGTTTCTAGAATGAGTTGAAAAGACAGACACAAGGGGAGAAAAAAAACTACAAAATTTAAGAAAATGACCCAGAAGAAGCATTTAGAGTTGGAGCTATGTCTTCCAGGATCTTGAATAACATGACTAAATTAGGTAAGAATGATTTGATCACTAACCTCTAACCTCCCACTTGCTTTTCAACCTAACTTCTCTTTCAGGCATGCTCACTGTCCCTCATCATGATCTGTGCCCCTAATGCTTCACATTCTCCCGTCTTCTTGCTCCTCGGGTTCTCCAGGACTAGTGTTCCCCACAGTCTCCTCTTTCTTATGTTCCTGTCTATTTATTTAACCACCATATTGGGGAATGTAATGCTGGTAATGCTCATCTCCTGGGACTCCAGGCTCCACTCACCCATGTATTATCTGCTGCGTGGTCTCTCCATGATAGACTTGGGGTTGTCCACAGTCACCCTGCCCCAGCTGCTGGTCCATCTGGCATCTGATTACCCAGCCATTCCTGCTGCCCGCTGCCTGACTCAGTTCTTTTTCTTCTATGCATTTGGAGTTACAGATACACTTACCATTGCTATCATGGCTCTGGATCGATATGTGGCCATCTGTGACCCTTTACACTATGCTTTGGTGATGAATCGCCGGCTCTGTGCCAGGTTACTGACCTTGTGCTGGGTGATATCCATAATACACACCATGCTGCATGTGGGGCTTATCCTGCCTCTGTGTTGGGCTGGAGACCCTGGGGATAATGTTAATCTTCCTCACTTCTTTTGTGATCACCGACCACTTCTGCGAGCCTCTGTCTCTGACACACACTCCAATGAACTGGCTATATTCTTGGAGGGTGGATTCCTCATGCTGGGCCCTTGTGCCCTCATTATACTCTCCTATGCACGAATAGGGGCCACCATCTTACGTTTGCCTTCAGCTGCTGGTCGCCTCAGAGCCGTCTCCACATGTGGATCCCACCTCACCATGGTTGGCTTCCTCTATGGCACAATCATTTGGGTCTACTTCCAGCCTCCCTCCCAGAACTCTAGGGATAAAGACATGGTGGCTTCTGTAATGTACACTACTATTACTCCATTGGCCAACCCATTTGTTTACAGCCTCCGCAATAAGGATGTCAAAAGTGCACTCAGCAGGCTGCTGAGACTGAGGAGAATAGGCTCCTGAGTAGCCTGCTATGGAATAGATTGGGTGGAAGAGGAGAGGCAATCCCTGATCTGACTATTGTCAATATTGTGCTATGATAGAGCTGTGAACAATTGATATTTACTTACACACATGGTCAGGGCTCCTTTATCTGTATGCCTCTCAGACACCTCCATCAGGGCAATCATTTTCAGCTCTCAAAGTGGATAAATGCAACTCAATAGCCTGGGTTTCTTCGATTTCCAGAGTTTTTAAGGAATGTGAAGATAGGATCATGAAACAAAATAAAATAAATTAAATAAATCAAGCACCTTGGAGTTAATCACAGTCACATATAATGCGGAATGATTTGTTTGTGTGGAGTGTGTTGGTTTACATAAGAGAGTAAGTGAACGATGTGATAACACTAAATTGGGTGGGCAAATTCACTCCTTATTTTATTCAATGAACAAACAAATATCCAGTCATGAGTGTGAATGAGAGCTATAATTCTGCTATTCCACATGCTAGTCCCACTATACCCAAGTCTCTTTTTAAAGTTATAATTTGTATATTTCAAACTGCTTTGAAGATTCATTTTATAAATAAAATAGAAATAGATAACATAACAATTTCATTGCATAAAAGAAAGAAAAATGAATTCTTTCCATAATGAAGAAAAATGACTTTTCTTAGTTTTCTGGTAGCTGAAAATTGGTATCTATCATAGTACCTCTTAATATATTAGCATGGTGGTTCTGATGGTCTGATTCACCTTTACACACCAATATTAGCCCTTCAGCCCATTTGAGATGCAGCTTTGCTCAAACATGTTGTGATGAGGTATTTCCTTTACTGAAGATTCACAGGACATCTACAGCTTGATGTTCAAAGAGATTATAATACCCGTGCTACCTTTTTGATAAGTTTATTATGGATATATCACTGTGTACAAGACTGTGCTTTGTAAATTTTGTCTTAACGAAACTTGCCATTATTCTGGTCTATTTGTTTCAAGTGTATTGACATCATTTTTGAAATTAACTTCTAATGCTTAAAGGCAGAAAAGTCTATATTATATATTTGTGTATTATTTCTCATATCACCTGGTCATAGAACAGATAGATATTCATAAGTACTCACTAAAAGCAAGACTATTTTTTGCTTGGCAATTTGATATTTGTATAGCAGAAAGGAAAAGATTATCCTTTTTGTCTCCCATAAAATTGTAGCTTATTTCCCTGGAATCCTGCTCCTGCATCTTGGACCACGTCCTTCACACAACCTGGTCTCTGGTCATCTTATTCTTCATCCTCTTCTCTTTCTGCTTCTGAGAAAATTCTTTAGTACAGAGCTCCCCAAACTTTAGGTGAAAACAATTTCTAACACTTTCTAGTTGGTAACAATGCTGCTGGTCAATGGGTCCCACATTCAGTAGAAGAGCCCAGTGCACTTTATTTGCTTGGAATTATTCTGCCACCAGAACACAGATATTTTATTCACTCATTTATTTTTTATTTTCTTTTGCTGATTAATTTTGTTCTTTGAAAATTTCAACATGTATATAATGAATCTGATCAATCTCTCCCCCACCCTCTCTTACCCCTTCTCATCCCTGTCAACCCTCCTATCCCTTTGGTCTCTTTCCCAGATTCATGACTTTTGGTTTCGTTTTGAACATATTTAATTTGAACACAGCATTCTGTGTATGGCTATTTTTCATAATAATAATTTATATAAAATCTTCAGAATTCTTAACATGATATCAAGAAACACCATGGTTATGATATGACTCTAGTGATTTTCATGAATGCTTTATTAATTGATAGGAGTCATTGACAGGTTTACGTTCAAGTTGCTGTACAGAGAACCAACATTATCTTATTTTTCATATGAGGAAAAAAATGGGCAGAAGACATCTTGCCCTGATTTTACCCACCACTTGATACCAATTTCTAATCAGTAATCTTCACATTCATTGGCCACATCCTGCATAGGCCCATGGGAGATGAATTGCTTCCAAATAATACATGCATTTAGTCCAGATCTGAGCATCAAGCTTCCTGTGTCAGTGGTTCTCATCCCCCAGCCCATGAGACACACCTGGTGACTCTATAGAACCATCATGGGTGGGCCTGGGTGGTGATGATTTAGGTATCATAAAAGGCCAGGAATGTAAATCATGACTCTTTGGAGTAATATGACTGTGTCTAGTCATGTTTCTGCTCTTTTTGACTACATAGGGATTACTGGAAATTTCCTTCAATTGGGATGAAGGGGAGAGAATTTTCTATTGCTGACTAGAGTGTCACCCCAAAATTTATATGTTGAAATTCTCTACCCTTGGGTGATGGCATTATGATGTGAAGACTTTGGGAGATAAGTAGGTTATGAAGGTGGAGCTTTGGAGCGTTCATGAATGCAGTTAGTACCTTCATAAGAAGCAAAGGCTGCTTGCTTACCCTCTTTATGCCCTCTTCTATGTGAGAAAAGAAAGCATCTGCAATTGACATGAAGGTCCTCACCAGACTCTATATTGTCATCACCTTGATCTTGGACCTTCTGGCTTCCAGAAATGGGAAAGATAAATTACTATTGTTTAAACTAATCAGTCTATAGTAATTTTTTAAAGAAGTTGTATTTGACAGATATGTTCTAATTTATTTAATATTAATAAACTTTTGATCCTTATGCAACCTTCTACTTCCTATAGTGAGCACCAAATTGCATATTACTATTTATTTACTTCTGTAAATTAATGTTGTGTTTATGGTCCATCTCCAGCGTGGAGTGCAAATTCCATGAAAGCAAGAACTTTGCCTGTTTCGTTCATCTGAGTACCTAAAGCTGATGGTGATAGCCATCATAATAAAAATGTTGAATTAATGGATATATATGCTTAAAGAAATGAATTATGTTCATGTGTAACGATTCAGAGGAATTTAAGAGGTAGCACTTTGAAAAGATTAACAAGACTGAAAAACTTTTAGCCAAATTAACCAAAAGAGAGGTCCTAAACCAATAAAATCACAGATGAAAAGGTTAACCGTACAAAACATACTCTGAGGGGTTCAGTGATGCATAAGTACATACAAAATTTAAAATTAACCAACATTAAAAATCTATAGAAATGAAAATTTTAATATGTCCATTCCACCAAAGTTAAATCAAGATGAAGTAAATATTGAGGTCCTTGATCCATGGAGTTGAGTATTGTGCATGTTTAGAGATAGGGATCTAGTTTTGTTATTCTACAAGCTACTATCCAGTTTCACCAGCATCATTTGTTGAACAAGCTGTCTTTTCTCCAAGTGTCTATTTGTGGCTCCAATTTTCAAAAATCAGGTGGCTGAAAATGCATGGATTTGGAGCTGGGTGTTCAATTCTATTTCACTGATCAATGTGTCTGTTTTTAGGCCAGTTACATGCTATTTTATCATTATAGCTCTGTAATATAATTTGAGTTCAGGAATGGTAATACCACCAGCCCTTCTTTTATTGTTTAAGGACTGTACTGGATATCCTGACTTTTATGCTTCCATAGGAAATTTGAGATTCTTTTTTCAATTTCTGTGAAGAACTGTTTTGGAATTTTAATGGGTATTGCATTGAATTTGTAGATTGCTTTAGGTAGGGTGGCCATTTTTACAATATTAGTCCTACTGATCCATGAGCATGGGGCATCTTTCTATGTCCTGGTGTCTTGGGCACCGTAGGCTTGCAAATGGCAGTAATGGACTTCTTCCTTTGACGCTATTGATCAGGAGTCCTATAGACCCCCAAACAATACTGGTCACTGCACTTGATCTTTGTTACCCACTAGAACATGACTGTAAGACCCTACTGCTGATGACATCACATACATGAACTGTAGAATAAACATGGAGAAATCAATCTGGTCCTGACTTAAAAGCCTCATCTCTCCTGTCTAATTTTCATAGTGCTGGAAGGTGCTGTGCAAGCTACCTGAAGAAAAAATCTTACCCGCCTGTGAATCCTTTGAGCTACAACAATTACTGGCCTGGCAAGTTGTACTCACTAGTGCAATAGAGGCATGGATATTATTGGAGTAACCAACTACTTTCCAATTGTATTTAAGGTCTACTATATAGGATTGAATCCATACCTGACATTGATACCAGGCCTAGAACCTGAGGCTAGACAACCACAGGCCATGGAGAAAGCCTAATAAAAATATCCTGTTAGGTGGATATAGTATCAAACTGATTTCTAATGCCTTAGTTTTATACCCATAGATCAATGTGTCTCTCAATACTCAGTAGAGAATATTCCTTATGAAGCAGATGGTGATTATCACAGAAAACTGCAATTGACCAACTTACAGGAATAAAAGACCACAGGCTTCTTATCCTTGAATAGGACACTTAAATCAAACTTCTACCTGCAAAGGCTCAGGGATCATTGCAGAAAAAGGAATTGGAGGATTGTAAGAGCTAGAGGTGGTGAATGACCACAAGGAAACAGAGTTTGCTGGACAGTTGGTCAATTACTCATATGAACTCATAGCAATTGTGACAGCATGCACAAGTTCCACTGAAGCTCAAGTCAGACAAAATTCTAGTATAGGCATGGGGAAATGGATAAGAAACCCCAATCTTACCTGAGGAACTATTGACAACTGATGACTGCTGGTAAGGGGGGGATTCTGTCTCATTTAAGAGTGAGACTCTTAATAGGTTGACCAAGCTCAAGTGGATGAACACACATTAAGGATACTTGGGACACCAACCTGACACTGTAGGCTTTTATACATACATTAGAATACTGAAATTTGGGGGAAGGACTAAAAAGAAGGTGAGGATATGTGAGGGGATCTAAATATGATAAAATATATTGTGTGAAATTAGCAAAAATTAAATTAAAAAATATGAAGTAAATAATGTATGTCGATCCATATCCATCAATCTCAGTCAGAATGAGTATGATTGAAGAAAACAAGCAACAAATGCCGGTGAAGATGTGGGGAAAGGGAACACTTATTCACTGCTGGGAAAAATGTTATTGCCAGTATAGAGGTTCCT